CTCTTTGTCGTATACGTCACCTAGTTTCCCACGGTTTTCCTGCCACATGTTTTTCTCATTGCCACTGGTTTCACTTAAATGCTTACACCTTATTCAATGTTCCCATTAATTTTTTTCATCTCATGCTCCCTTCCAAAACCTACCCTCTCATCCATAACCTAATCATCCCTATCCCATTCCGTCTACTCACTCTTTTCCATACTATTTATAGGGACCGTATATACATACATATATACATACGCTTTTAAATGTTCCTTAGTATTATACTATTCATTTACTCTCTCTCTTCCATCTTGTGGATCATAAAATTTCAAAAATACATTAATATACAAAGAAAATGCTGAGCCTCACAGCTGAAGCAGTGAAAGACAGCAATCTGTGCAGATTCTGAGCAATAAAAACAAACTAAATTAGAGGATGGCTAGATTCCACGTTTTGGTGGTAGGTTGTTTTCTTACATGAACACACGTAATTTCCTAGGATAAGAAAGCTACAACAACCATTGACAAGTTACTGTAATTGAGGCTAATGTCACAAATATTCATAATTGCCACTACGAGGATTTCTGTAGTAATACTTTCTCAAGCTTCTTATGGATTTATAGAGGAATGATATAGTTAATATTGATTTCATTTAAACTATACACACATTGCAATCTAAGATATCTAGTTTAGTCCATTCAAAATATGAACTAGTGCTAGAAAGATTTTTCTTCTTATAATATAATTTTGGATTGGACTTACAATCCAATAATTGATTGATGGATTATATTGACCTAAAGTGCTCACACTTAATCTACGCGTCTATTGGAGCCAACTTTCAACTTAGATACTTCAAATAAATACATATATAAAACAAATTATACACTCCATAACATAGTTATTTAATTATCAAAAGTATCTTTAACAACTATCAATTATTCCAACTCTAACCATTTGAAATATCTAGAATATTAAGTCACTGCAGTCAACATTCATTATAATACTACTCTCAACACCAACTATAAACATGAAATATGCAAACAAATAATCTTCAATATATATCATTGTTTTAATAGATTATCTTTCTTTTTTAAAATAATATTCGTTACTTTTAAATGTCACTAAAATTCATTGCAAAATAAATTTGTAACCTAATAAATAAAAATTTATTTAATCATCCTTTGTAACCTAATAACTGTTTTTTTTTTAAATAAATATCACAATTAGAGATGGTGTAGCCCTTAAAGTTCACTTCGAAAGAGAGAAAGGATGAAACTGAAATCCAAAAAGAGAAAAAGGGCTCAAGCGAAAAATTAAAAATGTGTGAAGTGGGAAAGTAAAATGTGTGAAGAATGAAATAAATGCATCCATCATTTAATTTTTAATTCATAAATACAGCTTATTCTATATTTAATATTATTATTTTCAAATTTGGGTCCATTTTAAACTGGTTTTTCACTTTATCATTATTTTTTTATTTCTTCTATTATAGTGTTTGGTAGACCGACATTTATATTAACAAAATATATTTTTAAGCATCAGTTCAGTCCTGGCAAATTTAGTATTATTATTTCTATTTATTATTTAATTTGCTTTCATTTTAGAATAAGTTTAATTCATTTTTATCATTAATGTTTTTATTTTTAATTTCTAAGTATAACTCATTAGTGTGATCCTAACCTATTATTTTAAATTTGTGGCCTTTTAGAGGAATATCACATTCTTTATCATTACTGTTTTTATTTCTTTTTACTTAGCGTAGGTAAGCCGTTAGACCAACACTTATGTATGAATAGAAAAATAGTCTTTTAGTATTGGTCTAGCTCACACAATGTTTAATATTGTTATTTTTATTTATTGATTAATTTGTATCCATTTTAGAATAGATTTGACCTATTCTTTCCGTAATATTTTATTTATTTATTTTCTCTTATCAGCATGGCTTGATTTATGCTTATATTAATTAAAGTTGTAAAAAATATGTTTTTATTTTCTAAATTTTGATACAAAATTAGAATTTATTTATGTATAAAATTTTAATATATTTTAATTTTCAAACTTTATAAATAAATTGATATGGTCCTTTTTTTTAATTTAGTTACCGAAATGAAAACATACCAAACATTATAAACAATTAAAATGATAACATGAAACATAATTGAAATTAAATTAATTAAATTAAAATAATTACATCACTTCATTTTTAAAGTTTAGTTAAAATTTAATTATAATAATACAATTATGTCACTAATAAAAGGTATTTGAATTGGAAAAATATTGTTTTGTAAATAAAATTCTCACTCTAGTTGTAATATTTAGTTATTGGATATAATTATATGTTATAAGACTTTAATGAAATATTGGTGTATATGTTTACTAAAATATGATTTAACTTATTAACTTTAATGTAATAATAAAAAATAAACTTTTAATCTAATTTAATCTTACCAAATTAATTTATAAAATGAAATTTACATTTATTTATATATTATAAATCAACTTAACTAAAATAAAACTTCTCAACATTCATAATAACAAAACATCTTGTAACTTGATATTCTGATAAAAAAAAAATGTAGTTTGGTTGCATCTTATTTCTTAAAAAGATTGCGTTGATAAAGTAACATGATACGCTTAGTATAGGCACCCTACAAAAGTGATAGCCCCTACAAGATTAAAATAGTATTTTTTTTTTTTTACTCAATAATAAAATATTATAATGGTTATTTAACATGTTAAATGGAAAGTGTAAAGTAAGAGTGACTAATTAGGAAACAAACAAAATACAGCAGGAAAGAACTGACTGTTAAATATTTAAGTTTTTCATGGAATCCACTTGTTTTACTTTTTCACTTAAATATATAAACAACAATACGAAGTTGATATTTTTCAAACTCTCTCATCTTTCCATATACTAAATGATGTCTTTATATTATAAATTTGACTTATTTAAAAAGACAAATTTTCTTTTTTCGTGTTATGTTGTTCTCTTCAAACAAATCTGTACAACTTTTACTTTATTTTTGTTTTTATTTATTTTTCTCTTTTCTTCACCTTTCATTTTATTTATTTATAACCTATCATAGAATTAGTTAGAAATTTAGTTTTTTTTTTCTTTATGTTTTTTCTGTTTGTAAATCTTTAGTTTTGTCATAAATACATACGTTTTTTTTATGACTATAAGATTAACATTGATAATTCACTTAACGTATCGGATCATAATTCTAAAACATTTTTCTCAGTTATATTTTTGAAGAATATATATATATATATATATATATATATATATATATATATTCTGTTTTAGTCAAAAAGTACGTGAAAGGTTGTAACTAAATATTATTTTAACTGTAATTTTAATACATTAATTATAACAAAAAAAAAAACTCATTTTCATAAAATAAAGAAGACTTTTCACCTGTTTTTTATCCCCAAAAATCTTTCTTTCATTTTTTTTCCATTCTACTTTTTTTTGTATATCTTTTTTAAATCACGCCACTCACTATATTTATTACTTTTTTTTCTTTTTTTTTTCTTTCTTTTCTTTAGTCATGTACTCCAAATTTGAATAATAGGAAACATCACTACTTTTCTAAATATAACTCTAGTTATGACTTTTTTTTTATGTCTACGGTATTCCTAGAACACTTTGTTTGAATACGTGATAAAAAAAAAGGTGAAAAGTTAAATTATTAGATGAAAAGGAGTAGACAGAGAAAAAGAAAAGAATGAAAAGTTTGAATAAGAATGTATTTAATTTGAAAGGAGAAAGAAAAGGGGAAGGTTGGATTTATTATTGAGTAACCTTTATTTATTTTCATCATAAGTTTATTTTAATATGTGAAAAAAATATTCCCTTACTAAAAAGCTTGTGAAATTTGTATGTCAAATGGATCCATGAGTCTACTTAAAGATATACAATGATTATCAATAATGTAAAGTGACTATAGACATGTATATTATGGATATAAATAAAATCAAGCATACTAAATTAAATAAATTCTTACACTATGCTATTTAATATATATATATATATATATATATATATATATATATATATATAATTGAATTAGGTAAATATTTACACTATACTATTTAAAAATTATATAATTAATTATACTTGAAAGATAATTGATTATATAGATGCATTACATGAAAAGCTAGTGAGACGAGCGAGACAATTTAAACAAAAATCATATCTCATTGATTCTCTAATTTCTTAAATCGTACCTGAAGAAGCTTATTATGTGGATCCATCAATTTCATACCTCTCATTTCTCAACATTTTCCTTAATATAAATCGAATTCATCAACTCAAACTCTCCATGAATCCATGCATGAAACAAATGTTGATTAAGAATTAAACAAAAAAATTGTTATTCAAATTATTCAATTTCAATATCACCTAGAATAATTCGATGAAGACGATGTTAAATACGAGTATGCATATGCTAATTAAATTAATTTTATATAAGGATCTAATTAAAATTAAACGTTTATAGAAAACATATTAAATGTTAAATTTATTACTTTAACACTTCATTTACAACCCTTCACATTCACTTTTTCATCTTTTCTTTTACTATCACAAAAAGATTACTTTTTTTTAAACGACTGTGTTATTATTATACGTTATCTTTAAAAGAAGTGATCGTCAGATATTAAATGTCAAAAATAAAAAGTTACAGAATTAAAAAAGATAAGTACTGTTTCGATATTTTTTTTTACATCTATTTTACAATTTGTCTAATATGGGCAGAAAGAAGAAAACAATTTTCTTTCTTTCCAACACATCTTATACACATTTTCGACGTTTTACATTTAAAACACGAAAATATATAACTTGTGTCTCTCAATGTTTCCAATTTAAAATGGAAATCACGTCTATATTCCCTTAGAAACAACTTCAAGGATAATCTTAAATCAGAAAAACGCGATTCTCATGTAAAAAGGCAGATGGTTCACATAACATATATATTAGGATATTTATTTTTTCCCAATAGAAGCAGAAAAAAATAATGAAAGAGATAAGGATATTCCTTTATTGAAGAACAGGATCCTCCTCCAGTGGATTACAGGGCTAACAAAATAAAGAACTAAACTCCAAAAATTAACGTAAGCAGAGGTTGTCTGTTTGTTTTCCATGCTAAGTGCTTATTTCATGGAAGTGGTGTAGGTAGAATACAAAAATACTTGTGATGTTGATCACCCAGTTAACAGCGGATAGAAGTCCAAAATTGGGTTGTTGTGATGATAAAGAGACTCCCCTAGCTAGCTAGCAACAATAATTTACACTACTCATGTTAGATAATTGATTCGACAAAGTAGATCCACCACCCAAATCCCTTTTCTTTGGTTTCAGCAATGGAGGTACCCAGTTACCAATAATATCACTATCTTCATCACCAATCACATCACCCTTTGATCCTTCACGGTTACCCTCTTTACAACTCACAGAAAGCCACTTGGCTTGCATGTACGATGTGGTTCTCCATGGAGGCACGTGAAGACCCTTCTCTCTCAGGCACTGTTTGGCCGCAGAACATAGCAAGGAAATTATGTTGCACAGCTTCTTCTCACTCCCAACAAAAATGTAAGGAACCGACTCTGTCAATTCTTTGTAGTCTTCCGTAGGCTTCGCAACTTCAAATTGGGACCTGAAATCTATATCTACTATTACCCTCAAAGGTTTACCGTAATCCTCATCCTCCACCGTCACCTCAATATACTCGTATTCACCTGTTCATGTTTGCACAAACACAAAAGCTCGATAATTTTCACATCCAAGGACAGTTTTCAAATTTTGACATCTAACGGTAAACCAAATGAATCCAAATTTGGATATTTCATTTTGAATTTTAACACGGATTTAACCAGGGGTGGAGAAAACGGCAGAAAAAAGAAAGACCCACCTGCAGGACAACCCAGAGAGGTGGCCCAAGACGTGTGGCATATAGAAGCATTAAGACCGTCCATTTTCATCCTCACAGCAAGCCATCTACTGAGATTGGTTGTTTTCTCTGCACCCTTTCTACCTCTCATATGTTTCAGTACACACTTCAACACCTTGGTCTCAGGTGCTGCATCACCCTCACTCCTTAGAATATCCTGAAACCATTTACAGCATAGAGAAAACACATGAGAGACAACCTTAAACCAAGACAAAGTTGGGAAAAAACAACAACATTGGACTGGTGAACAGTACCTGCAGAATAAAAAATTGGGTTCTGTGGGTTAAGGTGTGGCAATTTGAGGAAGTGGAAGTAGTGGAGGATGTTGATTCTGATTCTATAAAATCTTGCACCATTTGTACCAACTCGTCTTCCTCTAAACTTGCCATCTCCGTTTTGTCCAAGTCAAAAGAGAAGAATAGTGTGCAGTGGAAATGAGTGTGAGGTTTGGATTTGTTATGTATAAGAAGGAATGGCGGTGGAAATAGCACCTGTGTGGTGACAGATTATAGATGAGGCCCGCTGCTGATAAGCTAAATATATATATGTATTAAATCAATCAAACGAAAGGAACCAAAAAATTTAAAATAAAATAAAATAAAAAGTTGATATGTCCGAATATCCTTATCTTAATTCTTTGTTTTAATAACCATGAAAATGACATAACTATGTGTTTTCAATGTATTCTAGAACTGTCTCTCACGGTTAACTCGACTCATTAATGCGCGTCTCGTGTCTTTTTCTTCTTAATCACGCATATTCGCTATCCGAAACTCAGTTTTGTGGATTAATTCGAGTGGAGATAATTAGTTTAATTAAGGGGAAAAATCTGTTAAACCATTTTTTATTAGTAATACTTTGGACTATTAAATATTTTGTTAGAAGTAAACCTGGTCCACGCCACTTTAACCAATTTCATTGGCTCTATATGCTTTAGGACGACTTCAAGCATTTCAATCATGATAATATAATTAATGTACAATCATACCAAAACCAATAATAATAATAATAATAATAATAATGTGGTAAATTCATTTAACTAGTCAAGATTTGCCTAATTAATATTTGTCGTTCTAGTCCTTGTCCTTGGATGAATCTCAGATGTGGAAAATGGTGCGATAGAGATAATGATACGGTAATTTGGATGACATTTTGATTTGGTTTTGATAGTTTAAATCTTAACCTATATAAATTAGCAAAAATTAGTTTAACACTTTATTCATTTTTAGATCTGGAGATGATTAAAATTTTACTAGATAAAACTTTGTTCATGTAATATAAGAATGTTACATAACTACGAGAGATCATAAACTTTGTGTAAGAATCTAGAAAATGGAGTATTATAGTAGATAGGTATTTTAAAATAATGAGACCGATTATTTTATTTTAAAAATAAGTCGATACTATAGATAAAAACTTCATACAATTGTCTCATTAATTAAAACACATTTCATCTCTCTAGAACTCGTTATCTAAACTCTCTCTACACTTTCTTACTCTCTGATCATCTGTTTGACGATAAGGAAGTTCCTACGTGATCACCACTAAGTTGTCTTCAATATCCACCGATCAATTTCAGTAATAGAGCAAGTAAGTTTTTACCCCATTTTTCCTTTTATTCTCGATCTTTGATCTTACATGTAAATATGTTTTTGCATGTACAAGAAGGGTTTTTCCTAAAACTCTTAGTCAATTTGAGGTTCTAAGCTCCCTTTCCAAGCATTAATTGGTGATGTGTAGGTATTTCTAGAATTTTCCTTGCGGTGGGAGCAACGATCGGGTGTTAAAGAGTCGGGGTAGTTCTAACTAAGGTAAGAGAAGCTACACCTTGTCTTAATTGTATTTGTAGTGTAAATTTTGTAATTTTATAAATTTTAGACGTTTTAGTAGAAATTGGGATTGGAATTTGTGTTTTTATGATATGTTGTTAGTGTATATGATATGAGGATGTATTTGCTGTTGTATATTGTATTGTTTGTGTGTGATGAGGATCTTTTATTGTTTGAAACAGAATTCAAGTGGTGGTAAGAGTATAAATTAAGTTACTTAGAATTTAAGCTTAAATGGAAGGGTCTTGGGTAGTGAAATTTAGAAATAGGTATGGAAATATTATGGGATCTATTTTGGCATTGTCATGAGGTTATTTAGAACTTTTTAGGAGGGTTATATGGTTAAGAACTATATGAAATGAAAAGGGTAGTTTATAGGGGCTGTTTTCAAGTGTTTTTGGTGTAAACAAATGGTGTTGAGTGGTGAAATGATGAGGTAAATGGTCTACACTGTTTTGGAAGGTTAGAGTTATGTTGTCACACCTATTAGGACTTATCTAGGTGCTTAAACCAGTAACATCTGTTCTAAAATGGAAAATGGCTTCATAGGTTGAGTTTTTGGCCTATTTTAGGGGTTCTAAGGGGGTGAAAATGAGAAGTAGGACAATTGAGAGTATTATGTGGTTTTGGAGTATCTATCAAGTGCAATTGGACTTGTTTATGCAGGTTGCAAACTGGTTTGAGGGTTTAAAAGGATAGAAATGAAATTGGGTAACTTATAGGAGTGAAATTAGGTTTTCATAGGTCAATTTGGGTTTGGAGTGGTCAATTCAGGTTAGAGGTATGTTTTTAGATGTTTCTCAACGCCTAAGAGTGTTTAAGAATCATTCAAACTTGTATAGAGGGTCACTAAAGTCAAAATAGGTTAATTTTAGAACTTGGTGCAGCATTGGGCGCCTTTCTTGGGGCCCCTGGGCGTTTTTGCGAGAAGAATTCGCTTGGGTGCCCCTTGAGTGCCTCTGTTTCATAGGTCAGGCACCCCATTTTGGGCACTGGGCGCAACTCAGCAAAATTTTTTTTTTTTTTCAGTTTTCGGGATCTCAAATTTAGGGATCAGATGTACGTTTTAAACGTTCTATTTTTGATTTAGGGGTTTTGGACCCTTCCGAAGCTATTGGTGAGAGTTTCATAGTTGTTTTCCTTACCTAAATATGAGTATCAATATGCCATGAAGAAATCATGTTATTGTATGATTTCTAATGACTTGTATGAGTGTTTCTATTTATTTGATGTATGATCAATAGTAGTCTCATGTATTGGTATAATATGTGAATATGGAGTGATATCATTGGTTTCAAGGTTGGAAAAGTTGGTTTCAAGGTGGAACTTCTTGGTGTGGTTCACGAGTGTTAGAATGAATGCAGGAAGCTCGGTTTTGGGAGTTTTCCCGACACTCTGATGGTCATACATTTTTATATAGAGAGGTTTGACGCAATTGGTGAGAGTAGCTGGAGGTCTTAATCTAAGTGCTTCCAGTATTGCCTATGACGCGGTACAAACTAACCTTGTGATGTGCAGTAGGGTGAAACCCAATTGACAAGGGCTTTGCAAAGCAGTAGTGGTCACCACAAGTGCATAACTCGTCATAGCTCGACATTCTTTCTAAGTCCGACAGTCGGTCTAGGTGTTTTACACTAAGATGTTTGAGTTAATCTATGTTATTTATATGATTATTATGTGAGATATTTTAATTGATATGATGTGATGTTTTGAATCTAGCTTACCCTATTATTTTGTTTGTATTGTTGTTATGTTTCCTTTGTTTGGTTTGGTGATGATCATCTGGTGGGTGTGAGCAGAGGATGATGATTTGTCGGTGGAACAAACTATTGGAGAAGATGTTTCTGATGCTCCGGTGCAGTAATAGTAGATTTATATGTTTTTAACTTTGTTATATTTTGCGGTTGAGATGATCATTCTTGTATATTGTTTTGTTATAACTATGTTGTATATAAAATTTTAAATTTATGGTTATTTTGGGATAACGGTAAATTATACTTTATAATTTTTTTTCCAAGTGGTCTTTTATATTAAAGGTGTGATGACTTGACTATTTTATAATCTGGACTTCCAAATTGAACTTCCATCTTGTATATTTTTCTTAATCGCAATATTTATTTTCTGAGCTCCTATCATAGCTTACTACTCAACTGGGCCGTTCAACTCTTGTATTTCATCTGCTCAATCCCTCTTTTCATCTGGGCCTGACCAAAATTAATTGGCAAGGACTTCCTGCACCCTATTATATTTCTTGGTGCACCCCATCAAAAGTTTACTAAACAGAAGTGGTGTGATTGTGTACCGGAAAGAAATTTCTGGATTTATTTTAACGGGTTCCGGAAAATGGATTCCGAAATGATAGATTTTGGGATATGGTGCAGGAAGTAATAGTGGAATTAACTTGTACCTGTTTTGTATCTCATTAAGCACCATCTTTTTTCGTTGGATCCAGCCCAATTTGTCTCGTATTTCACCTGTTGTGATATTTTCTCAGTGAATTTCTGTACCCTATCACTTTTGATCTATGAAGCTCTGTTGAGAAATGATTGCGAAATCTCTACCAATTGGTCTTTCCTTTCCTTTTAATTGTAACTCACTCTCACTTGAATTCTACTCAATTCTAAACACACAATTTCAAGTTAATTTTGGTTAAATAAAGATTTTATCGACGATGTTTCTTTTTAACAATTTACATTCTTTTTTTCTTTTTAACACGTGACTTTTTATTTTTAAGAACTGAACTCTTTACAATTTACTTTCACCATTGTGCACAACATAACCCTAATTACTTTCAAATTTAGAATAGTAGGAAGTGTCTGCTTGAAAACTTATTTAAAGAAAATAAAACATTGAAAAAGTAAGAAAATAGTCGTCAAGAAAATAAAACATTGAAAGTTTGAAATGTGATCTAGACATACACCTTCTAGTTAGTTTATAAAGCTAGCTTTGAAAAGTCATGAAAGAAAGAAAAAAATCTGTCTTTTTCTAGGAAGTGCTCCATCCAAAATGCCAATTGAGGCCACACAGGACAAAATCACATTTCGTAAAGATCCAATTAGTGCCCAAGCAAAATATTAGACATAAAAATTGGATTTTGAATCCTAAAAACACATCAAGAACAAAATAAAAGTCTTATCTTGAACTAGGGGGAATAAAAGTTAATAATAATTTAATTATTAAGGAAATATCTCATTGTCAACAGAAGAAGAACACGTGTTTTGACCTATCAACATTTATTGGTCAATAAATGCTCATAAATTTCCTTGAATCCGAAAAGAAAATTAAAATGATTTATTTGGTCCAAACTCCAAAGTCTGTCTTTTTTGTTTGGTCCTTCCTTCCTTTCCTAATAAATTAACAGTAATTACAAACTTAGTAATTTGAGGTCCAACAGAAAACACCGACTTCAACAACAACAACTGTTTTGTTTTTCTTTCAATCAACAACCTCCACCATGAGCCTGCCGGAATTTCCTTCCGGCAGTGGCGCCGGAACATCATCCCCGCCGGGGAAGAAAGAGCTCCAGCTCCAAGGGACGCGTCCACCGCCGCTCAGAGTTAGCAAAGACTCCCACACCATCCACAAGACCCGCAAGCCGCCACTTCCCCCCAACGCGCACCTACAGCAGCCGCCACCAGAGAACCGGAAGCCGGTGATAATCTACACCGTGTCTCCCAAAGTCCTCCACGTCACCGTCAGCGACTTCATGAACGTGGTTCAGCGCCTCACCGGGCCATCCTCTGGTGACGAGCCCGCTCTCCGACCCGGCGACGTTTCGCCGGCAGCGAGGCTGGCGTCGATCGAGAGGACAAGCCCATCGGAGAGGGAGAGAGATCACGGCGGGGATGAGGACGTGATGTTGATGTTGGAAGGACTGGATGTGGGTCAGTTCCCCGGAATATTGTCGCCGGCGACGTTGCCTCAGATATCGCCAGGGTTTTTCAACGAGCCGCAAACGGCGACGTCTTTTTGGCACGACCTGAGCCCGTTTTGGTCTACTCACAGCTTCGTTGCAAGTCCTTCGGGGCTGTTTTCTGCCTCCGCGATTTCTCCGCTGCCGTCGCCGGACATCTTCAATCTCTTCGACTAACTTTGATTTTCATTACCACTTTGAGTTTTTTCTTTTTTGGTATGGTGACTATTGATTAGGTTTGGAAAGGGAAAATGGTGGAAGATTCAACTATGGGTGACTTTTGTGACCAAAGTTTTGTAGTGCGTAGATGTTGTTTGTGGCTTCAAGGGGAAAGAATAAAAATACAAAATGAGAGCACTTTTGAATTCAAAGTTTCAACTATGGTCATTGGTGAGATCCACTGTTTTGTGCTGCGTTACAAATAGTTGGAGTCCTTTGTAAAGTCTTTATCAGTTAGTTTGGTGTGAAGAAGAATTCCATAACTAAATTCGCCGCAGATAAAATCCTCAAAATCAACTAAAAGCATCTTTAAAAATGCTTCTACAGCAGTGATTAATTCTCAATTGAGTGTATGTACACAGGAAGCTGAAGCTAATTCGAAGGTACCAAAAATATGCTTATAATCTTCGTTCTCAATTAACTATTCATATTTTTTTAAAATGGACAAGTGTAACTGATGATGTCATGCCATGATCATTTTATGATGTTAAATTTAATTGTTTAAGGCTTAGCTTGCTTTCCCTTATTGTTATGTTGAGGGATGGGACAGCTTTGCATCATTAATGTTTTTTTTTCCATCTCTTTTGCTTATATTTTCTTATTATTATAAATGGAAGTTCTAATCATTCTAATTCTTTTATTGACAAAAGCTTATTTTGGTTTATACACTAAGCAACAAATCTTTGAAGATGTCAAGGTAGCTTTGGATATATGGTTGAGTACATCTCATCTTAATCACTTAGAAGAGGGAGATTGTTCTGCACTATCTGACAGTTTAATGATTCTATTCTATAACATAGTTGATTTACTACAATTGAAGGTCCGCTTTCCTTTAATCATTTTGGTTTCTGAAGTTTTTGTGTATGATTTATAGTGATGATTCCTTAATTCCATGGCAAATCTTCATGGTTTCGTGGAACTATTCAATGACGCATATCAACTAGTGATTAAAATTTTTAAATGGAAGAATGTTCCAATTGAGAAGTGGTTGGCCTTAATGTGGGAAAGTAGAAGTCTATGCCATGCTCTCTGTGTTTCACCTGTTAATGAGGAGTTCATCATGAATTCATTGAATGAGATCAGGGAACTTTCAAATATTAATTTCTGGATACGTCATCTTCAGGGAAATCAATCATCATCGATAGGGTTTCAGCAGAATTTTTCTTTCTTATTTGTCAGTTCTCATAGGAACTCTTGCAGCCATGAGAGCTCTTTTCAAACAGACTGTTGACAAAAGAATTTCTAACACAGACATCACAATTGGTGAAGTTAAAAAAGCAGCTCTTGGTCCGATTTCAAATGTAAGGCCATTTTGTGACTGAATTTATCACAATGTCTTTTTGTCCAAAATCATCACTCTATTCTCTATTAATCTTCTGCTAGGTTCCTGTCCCAATTCATTCTACATTTCTTGCTGGGTGTCCCTTTTATGATTTGTGCCTAGGACTTGTTACAAATGGACAGTTAACAGAGGTAAGTTGTATTAGTTCTGATTTCAATTCTTATGTTGCGGATAACCAATCTCTTAACTTCTAAACTATAGACAAGTGATATTTGAAGCAAGATCTCGTTTATTATTTTTCAACTCTTGATGTTTCATGGTTATAGTCTAAATACCTTTCCAATTTCCTCTTTTCCATTTTATATTTGCGCCCGAGCAGACCTTAATTCTTTAAAAAAAACAGAACAATTTTTGAACCTCAGAATTTTTTGTCTGGTGGCTGCGGAAACATGTTGTCTGTTTTTCAAATCGAACTTTCCTTCACGAAAGGAATCTTGGTTTCCTCAGTCCTCACAAGTCATGCTATTTTCATTTGTTGTTTATCATAGACAGGATATGATAGGAACAATTGTCAATTAAATGAATATTTAGGTAGTGATTGAAGATAAAGGGACTTGTACTAGAGATTAAAACTTTGAACGCAATATAGGTTACACAACAAACACACACTTAGAGCTAAGAAAAAGTTAAGGTGGAGGGAAAGTTGCCCCATTGTAATCATGGCATGCTGAAAGAGCTAATGGTGCTTACAGTAGACCTACCAATGAAACACAAATTTTGGTTATCTATATGCCTTCTTTTTTTTTTAAATTATATTGTTTCTCCCAACTTACAGTTTTTTTTTTCTTTGAAAATGTATTAGGCTCTTTCCTCTGCAAAAGAAGCTCATAGATTACTTGCTAAACTCTTCCAAAGAAAGTTTACTCATAATGTTCAGCAGCAGAATGAAGAGCACAATGCAATAGTTGATTCCTTGAAGAGCATTACAGATAGTGTTGAGAATATTGGACTAAACTTATCAGTTGCTAGGGAAATTTTGCTATTTGATTCTATATCATGGGACTTGAAAGACAGGAAAGTTATGCAGTGTTATCTTCAGAGCACTCTTCTGGTTTGATTTTTATCCCACAGTCCTCGGGAAAGTAAATATGTTCAGACGAAGGCATGTAATGTATCTTATTTCAACAAAATTTGCAGTTGCAGGTAGGAATCATCCATGAAATGATTGGAAGCTGAGGCTGAAACCTATCGTAGCACCTATATGTATTTGTGAGTTTCTGCATTGGTGGAGAAGGCAAAAATAATTAGAGCTTGAAACAACAAAGCAGACAGAGTAACGAGATCACATCTCAATGAGTCTTCGAGACCTTCATGGAAGGACTAGATCACGTAATAAAAAACCCTATATAAATTATTTCATAACAATAAAATTTATATAGGTTAAGAAATAAGTCACAGAATCTATAAATCAATTAACAAGTAATTTATTGGAATTTATATGATAATGAATAAAAGATTATTTTATTTTCAATATTGTAAAATTTCAAATATCACTGGTTTTTTATCCTCTAAAAAATTCCAATAATTTCGATTAAACATCATAATATGTTTTTCTATTTTTTAAATTTTTTTATTGAATACCAGGAGACTTTCTTTTATAACGAAAATATTTAAAAACTCCAATTCAATATACCTCTTTAGTTTTCTTATTTTTTTTTAATCCTTGAAAGTTTAGACAGCATACACTAAATATATTAAAAAAAATACGTATAAGGACTAAAAACAATAAAGCCACATATTTATAGAATAACTAAAACAAATAACTTTAATAACACATGATAAAGTTTCTAAAACAACATATTAAAATAAATAACTTTAAAAGTCTTTCCAATTGTGCCTTCCTTCTGCGTTATGTGCAAGTGTAGGGGTGTAGTGATGTAGAGAGATTTAAGATTTTAAAAAAAGATAAATAAAATTAAATGATAAAAGTTAAATTAACATATAGTATTTTTGGAATAAAAAAATAATGAAGAGGTGTAAGAAACACTTGGGATGATGGATGGAACAATACTCATGTACTGAAATCAAATTTATTGTTTTTGGGTTAGAGGATGGAATTAGAAGAATGCAAGTGAATATATTTGAGAGAGAAATAAAAATAAAAATGAAATTATTTGAATTAAGAAAAAAATGAGAAGAAAATTATTAAAAACCATTATGAATTGTTATTTATTAATATTATTTATATTTTCATTATTAAAATATAAATTTATTTATAGTATTATTATATTATATCATATTATTATTACTAATTGTAATGCTTAATATTAGTAATGTTATTATTATTTTTAAATTTTGATTATATGTTTATTAATTTAAATTTGTTTAATAAATTTATTTTAATACTACAGTTGCAACAATGTTTTGGGTGAGAGGGATACGAAAAACCTTTCCAAAATAACTCCCGAATTTAAGCTCTGAAAATTCATGTCAATATAATAATTGAAGAGGTATCATTGTAGGCCCTCCAAATCAATATTTCTCAGTAATGTTTCAAGTGCTGAAAACTAAATTTCTACTCTCCTCGTCAACAGCTAAAAAAATATAAAATCTATAATATTTTGAATGAATTTCAACTTTTCCGATTCAAGTAAGTCTTCCTAGGTAGGCACTCTGGAGAACACACTGAAATTTAGTAGTTGAAACAAATAATGATATGTAAAACACACGCATGAAAGAGTTAAATGAGATCGGTAGTTCTAAGCTATACGAAAACATCAAAATGCAATTCCCAGAATCAGAGAAAGATAAATTAGAAATGAAAACAGTAAAGCTGGATGATATATTTTTTGTACAAGGATATGTAACCTAAGGCAACGAAAATTTCAAACATGAATATGCTAATTAATTTTCGTTTCTTCTTTCTTCTATATATACACACATATTTCCTGATTGTGTTTCCATAACAATGGTTTTCAGCACAAAGGGTCCTAGCCAGATAGTTCAGTACTTTAGATGAAAATGGAAAGAGGGTGACAAAAATCAGTATCACCCGAATTCCACTTCCTCTGAATCACATTTCAGAAAGGAGGATAGCAAAAGTGTACGTTTGTTTTGAACCAATGATGAAATGCAATTCGTAGTTGGTGACAATTGGAGAGCTGGGGACAAAAAAACACCGAATTTAGGTAAACAGAGCGAAGTTCAGGAGTCGAATATATTTTGCTTAAACCACAAGATGGCAAAGTAAAAATAATGCCAAGCCTGGAGAGACACGTCAAATAATAATTTAAAGTGTTATATTTACAAATTTGACTCAACAGCACCCTTCAAAAATCCATCAAAACCTAATAATGCACCTGACATTTTTGGCATCCTCACCAGGAAGGTTGTATAGGAATCACACGAGAAAGAATCAATTGGTAATTAGACTTCATATATTTTCATGTTCGTATACGGTAGAATTCCAGTTTGCCCCAATCAAAGTGCCAACTCGCTCGCCTTTAATAGCTTTCTCAATGTTGCCAGGTTTATTTAAATTGAAGACAACAACTGCACCATAAGGGAAGGACGGAGACAGCTAATCGTGGTGAGTTACTTCAGTTTTGAGAGGGTAAGGATACAATTAAACTGATACTAATTAGAAAAGTAGTTCATATAAGAGTTTATGTGCATGACGTTACCTGGAATATTATTTTCCTGGCATAAAGTTATGGCAGTCATGTCCATCACTGACAGATCTCTTGAAGTTACCTCTTGATATGTTAGTGTGTCATGAAGACGTGCTTGTGGATTACGCTTTGGGTCGTCGTCATAAACTCCGTCAACGTTTGTTGCTTTGAGTACAACCTCTGCATTAACTGAATACGATGGAACAACATTTAGCCACTACAATACTTCACCTCGTATGCTGAAGTGAAAACAAATTTAGCACAACATTAACAAATTGACGTAAAAAATCTACATCCCTGGCCAACAATAAATAGGTAGGACTTGGTTTGGTAGTGATGAAAACCCAGGAGGGGTTTAACTTAATTGTGGACCGATTACCTCAAGTTCTGTCTCTTGAATAATTCTTAAAAGAAATTTTTGAATAATTTGACCTTGATTTTGAAAAACCATGAAAAAGAAAAGATTACAAGATAATATTTTCAAACTCCATAAAATAAGCAAAATGATAATTCGCCACTTGTGGACCTAGCTCACAAAATAAAAATCAAGAATGCTAGAAATTGAGAAAATCTTTCCATCACTCAACTTCATGAGATAATTATAAAGAAAAGTCACTTATGACCTAGCTTAATGGATAAGAAACCCTAAAAAAGAACACTCTGTACATCCTGAACTTGGAATCACACGAAAGCACCTCCAATGATAAGCTAAAGAGCAACATATAAGATAAGCAATTATGGCAACCCTTTGAGAACCACCAAAGATACGCTAATGAGCACAACCAAAGATAATTTAAAGAAGGACAATTAGGATAAGTCCATGAAAGAGAAGAATTGTCCAAATGAATTCACATTATGAACAAATTGAATTAAATGAATATATTAGTTTTCCTTATATGGAAAGTGTGGTGGAAAGGGATTAGATAAACACTTCCGTTTCCTAATCCTATATCCAAACAAAAACAGAGAAAATAAAACTAAGACAAGGGATAGTTGAGCTTATTCCTACTAAATTTAAAACGAAAAATAACGTAAATCCATTTTCAAGATCAAAACAGGTAGGGTTACAACAATAAAAATAAGACATACTCTCTGCACATCGGAGTGCTGCAGCAGTGTCTGTGGTAAAAAATGGATTTCCAGTTCCGGCAGCAAAAATAACAACCCTTCCTTTTTCCAAATGCCTCACAGCCCTTCTGCGTATATATGGTTCTGCAACCTCAGACATACGAAATGCAGTCTGCACCCGAGTAGGAATGCCAATACTCTCCATTGTTGCTTGAAGAAATATAGCATTCATGACAGTGGCCAACATCCTAGAGGATAAATTCAACAAAAATTTGAAAAACATGAAGTATTACTTCAACCGTAGTATATACATTTTTAGTAACCCAAAGTACAGTGGATCATAGCAAGTTGAAAATGTAAATGAACAACCAGCACAGAAGAGCTCTGACTTAATCCATGAGATAAACTTAACAGACTTTTGTAAGCACGCAAAAAGAGTTCTGACAGAAGATCTAACTAGGCATTTGAGAAAGATTGAGGAAATCACCCAATATAATCAGCAGACGAGCGGTCTAGTCCACTACTTCCAGCCCAGGCCGATCCACGGAAGATGTTACCTCCACCAACTACTAGTGCAACCTGAAAAATGAGCCAACTTATTACACCAAAGTCTGAAAACCAGTTAAAAAGCTTTGAATAAGTTCAAGTCAAATGCTCTAACTTGTAGTGGACTCTCCCAATCTCACTGCCACATACAAAATAGATCCATGTAACACTTCGAAAGATTAATTTATAAAACACATCAATAACAACCCCAAACTACTCAAATCTCACAATCAATTAGCCAAATGATCAACAAATTGTGTGGACGAAACTGAAAACCACATCAAAAGAAACAGAAATGTATTATTAGTCTAAAAAGAATCCATTATAGTCACCTCAATGCCAAGGCGAGTTACTGCTGCCACTTCCCTTGCAATGGCCATGGTTATCTGTATCCAATCATAAAAAACAAATTCAGAAACATTGCCGAGAACACCATGATATAAGAGAATGCTTCAATTCATTTTGTTTTCAGGAAGTATTCATTGCCACTCGTCTCTAGTAATTTTTTTTTTCTTATTTCCCTGAAATGTCCCTTTTAAGTATATAAGCCAAACTAAAGACCTGCTACCACCTATATATCTAGCTAAACATTTTACTTTTTTATCTTGTCATGAGTTCCCCATCTATTGGTTCATAGACAAATGCCGCCACTCATGTCACTATGACAGTCATCGACACAGTCTACAAGTGAGGAGTTGTTATTATATAAAGAAGAACTCAGCAGACAAATAGAGAGTTAATGTTACCTTTGGGTCAATGTTCTGAGAATTATCTCCTGCAAGTGCTTCTCCGCTGACTTTGAGCAAAACCCTTCGCCATTTATACGATGGCTTGTTATTTTCATTCATCGAGAGCTCCAAGTGAGCCCTGGACGGAATGGGCTTCCTGCCAAAAAAATATTTTTTCAACCACAACAATTACCATCGTAGTTCCACAGAAACATTTAGACAAACAGCTTGTTGGAGAACCAAAAACAAGAAGAAAAGAAATAAACCTGAATTCGATTGGGTCAGGGGAAGAGCCCATTTGGGAATAAGAGGAGCGAACGACGAAATTGGCGTGAAGGGTTGAATTGCCTAGCGTAGACGTGAAGGAAGGGGAGAGGGTTTTCGGAAAACATAGAAGCGAAGATGAATGAAGAGAAGAAGAAAGAGAGGAAGAGAAAAGAGAAGTGGATAGTGCCATTGGAGAGCTTGGCTCCGTGCTACTGCTGTCACCAAACCCTCAGTTGCGAGGTTTTAGTTGCCGCTCAAGATAACTTTGATTTTTTATTTTTTATCTTTCATTTTCAATTTCATTTCCGAAACAATTATATTATAGTATTATATCTTAAACACAATTTCCCTGTCAAAACATCTAGGCATCTAGGGCACAATAAATCCAAGTGTCTCCATGGGTAACCAGACAAAACCAAAACCAAATATCTTAAGTACATAACAAAAACCAAGGGTTTAACGAAGGCGCTAAGGTATATAAGGACAACAATAAACATTGTGAGAGAACTGTTTTGATGCATTTAATATTAATTATCTTAATATAAGGATAACAGTTAATAGTAACATCACTTTATTTAAACTTCAAATAAGTTTGTTTAAATAAATAATTTTTAAAAAAATCCATAATTTAATATTGTTAGGATTTATTTTTCTTTTTAAAAAATATAAAATTACTTATTCTTAAAATAAGCAAATTAGACAAACACATCAAAATAATTTTTTATTTAATTAAGAAAATATATTTTAAAAAATAAGCAAAAATAAACTGACGAAATGAACTATGTCTACTATAGTTTCTACAAAGGAAAAAGTGTAACCATCGTATATATTTAAGATAAAAATACATATAATTATTACAATGCTAAATTAAAATAAAACCACTCAAAATTTATGAACTAAAAGACAACTCAGTACCTCCTAAAAATAATTAAATACATAAACATCAATTTTACAAAAAAAAACGATATTATAATCAGAAAACATAAATGATAAAATTTCAATTAATATAGCATACAATTTTTTTTTATATTTATAATGATTAATTTATTAAAATATAATACAAATTAAATCGTGATTCAAAATAGCTACTTATATAAAAAAGCATAGTCTACCTATAAGAAAAAGAAGTACTAGGGAAAATTCATAAATACCCATACTCACATATTTGACATTGCCCCCATTCTTGGTTTTTTTCGTAATTTTCTGATTCCCGTCTCTGCATCCTTTCCTCTAACTCTCCCTCACAATTCCATTCAAAAAATATAATAAAGTCTAATTATTTTTTAAATATTCAATCCAACAATTTAATCTAACAGAATTTAATTAAAAATGGATTAGGTTGGATTGTGTTGTTAAATTTATAAAAAAAAGAAGAAGATAAATTTAAGTCAATTAAACTTGAATTGACTGTTAAATTAAACTCAACCCCTACATTTCACAATTATTTTACTTTTTATCAAGAATAATAACATAACTCTAGAAAGTTATAGAAGGCATAATTGAATAAAATTTCAATTGCATTTTAAATTTGTACTGCAAAATAAATCATCTAATCACAATGTTGGGGATGAAGAGATTAGGATTCTTGTGTGGTCACTGGCATGACTAACCAAAGCCACATTAAAAAACTAGAGACAAATCTCAACAGTTAAGTGTACAAACTTCTAGAACATGTCATAAGCCTTGACATTCACCATGGATTTTGCACGGAGAATCCTATGAGTAGGAAAAGACAGTGACGATGATGCCATCAGCTTCAGATTCTGTCTTCCCAGGCAGTGAATGTTTGGATTGAAGTTGGAAAAGTTCAAAAAACATTTTAGCTCCAAAACAATAATTGTTTCCTCCTTTATTTACTGTGTTGGAATTTGTAAATTTATCCAAGGCTATCCTTGGCCACTTATGTTGAATTCTCAGGCATTGAAAGACCGTTGTAAATTTTCCACCTTTACCAAGCAAAGCCTGAATGGCAAGTAGCAAAAGTTCTCATGCATGGAAGGCATCAAGGCTGAACCAATGATCCTTACAGAGAGTAAGTTAAATGGTGATGACATTCTCTTAGAGCCTAATGGGTAATCCAAAGTTGTGGAATGTCTTGATAGTTCCATCACAACCAGCCACCACAATCGATAGGCCCCATGTTTCTGATACAATTCTGTCTTGGCAAGTATTTTTCTGACATAACTGCTGCTCATCGTATTCGTCTTCTGCTATAGGTAAATCCCAGCTGGGAAGTTTCTCCTCAGGCCATGTCATAGAACCTCGGCATGTGCCATCAATGGCAAACCAGTTACCAAGAGAAAAACGCTCTGCATCTCTAGTCTCATGGGGGGCAAGCTCTGATTGGCTTTGCATTTCTGAAGAATGGTGGGAAAAGTTACTGCTAGAACCCCTTTGATATGCTTTCACATCTGACCAAGGTATTGCAACAGTAACACCCTTGGAAAAAAAGTACTCACAGGAACGTTCAGATTTTGTGTGTTTAGAAGAAGCATTTCCCAAGTCATCCAAGTTCCATATGTAAACATGGGAGTCTTCTCCAACTGAAATTATATGTTTTCCACTTGATGTAAATGAACCCGACATTTGACTCCCTGACTTGGGAAGACCTGTCACAAGTAATAAGACTAACACTGCCTTAGAATTTTTATGCAAAACCAACCATACTGGAAACATCTACCTCTTAAATTTATCCATATGCCAATAGCTTATATACATCTTACAAAACAGTCAAAGTAATCAAGTCAAACATTAGATAAGGAAATAATACAGCCAGCAAACATAAGTGAACTAGTTTATTTATAAAGTAAATTTGTTGTCAACATACAATGTATTGTGTTGTGTTGTAGATTTACATTGCAAGTCATGTTATAAATTATAAGATTAAGTCAAGCGTAACCTACTTTCTAAGACAAATCTGTATTCTATTACGTAAGTCAAAAGTTGTGGGGTCTAGTGCTACTTATTAGAATGCACTGAAGTTGTGTTCCACTTTAACGTAAATCGCACAGAATTAAGAGGATAAATCTAGGGTCCCAATTTTATATAACAGAAAGAATAAAAAATAAAATAAAATCACCACCCATGAGAGGGAAGTAGCTTAGTTTTTGGGTTTTTCAAAATTAATCTGCTATCAATCAACCAATGATATTTGAAACTGTTTAAAGTGACAGGTATGACAAATAAAGTGAAACAAACATTAACAGCGATACAGCAAAGAAAATAATCCCTGTTGAGCTCAAAAAACTGTTACACATACGTAGCCATCAGAAGTTCTTTATTAATTATTTAAAAGTATATGACAAAGCTTGTCATGATTCCGAGGTAACAGACAACAAAAATTATAGCCAACTGTATGATTCAAATTAAGACAACAATTCACAATTTCAGAGATGACCAAAATCTATAAGAAAATACAAAACACGTATTGTTTGGGTGGGTGATGGAAGAATAAATCCTTTTATACTTCCAATAGCCAAATGGTGTGTACCTTTGTATTTCTGAACAAGCTCAATGCCATCATAAATATGAATTTTGGAATCTTCTGTTGTGATCATAATTCTCTTGGTACTTTTTTTGGAGAACTGCAAGCAACAAGGGTGTTAAATGTAAATAGATAAAGGACAACGTATAGCATCATAGTAATAGAATGAAACCTGAATGCCAGTAATCTTGTTGCCTGATGCTTTCTTCTTACCATGTACATCTATCTGCGCCTCAAGCTGGAAATATTTTCCTAAATCATTAGAAATCCAATTTAGATAGTCCTTTCTATTTTATCTTTTGTAAGGGGCTTCATAACTACAGTAATTGGTATTTGGTAACTCAAAAGGTACATACCTGAAGCAACATAAAAACGACAAGTGCCTGTAACAGAACCAACTACAAATCCCTGCATGTGTAAATAGCCAATGGTTCATCAATCTCACTAACATGAATTTCCAGTGTCAAAACCCAAAGTCAATAAAAGATTCCCTCAAGAATTCATGACATACTTTCCCATCTTCCTGGTAACTTATAGCACTTATGACATCTCGTATATTTGCCCAGTCAATGACTCGCTCTTCACGTATCCCCCATATTCGAACCTTACCATCAATGGACCCACTAATGAAGTAATTTTCATCAACAGGGTTGAATTGAATGCATGTCACTGCTTTCATTAAAAGTAAAGACACAATTATGATTATGAAGATAAACAAAGTATGTGCTTTAAATGTTATATTGACCAATTAAAGTATGGTTGTAAAAAACAAACCAAAAGGCATGGTGCTCTCGTACATACATACCATAGTCATTGTGATGGAAAACACTTAGACATTGATTACAATCAATTTGCCACAACCGAACAGTTTTATCCATAGAAGATGAAAGGAGAATCTGCCATGAGAAATTTTTATCAGCTTTAAGGAAAACTAAAATTGCAAGAAGAACATATGGAGCATATTGCATGATTAGAAGGGGATAGCGAGCTTCTGCTATAAACTCACATCTGAATTAGACCAAGCCAAATCCAAGACATCACTGGAATGACCAAAAAATTCTTGCAGTGGTGATTCCTCAATTTGAAAAATACTATTTGGAAGGAAAATGAAGGGTTGGTATGAGTTTTTCTTCTTAGGAGAAGTGTTTTTACGTTCCACTTTGCTATTAGAAGTGCTGTCTTTTGAGGTGAAACAAATACTGGATTTATCCAGAGATGTAACACGCCATATACGAACAACACCATCTTCACCTCCACTCGCTAAATACTGTCCACAGGGACTAAATTTCATGGTCCAGATTACACCTTGGTGAGCTCTAACCTCTTGTCCATTGAATAGGTCACTGAACTCTAGCCATCTCTTTTTATTCTGCCTTACCTTTATTCTTCGAGTTTTGTTTGCCCCTGCATTAAACTTTGATCTAACATTTCCTTCACCCCCTTTCCTCTCGTACACAAAGCGTTTCCACCAGTTTTTTCTTTTCCTTTTACCCATATCAAAATCCTGAAATTCTTGCGAATCAGCTTCTCTGTGTTCCTGATTTGTAGAAGGGAAGTCATGCTCTTTTCCTTCGAAGTTTGCATCTGCTTCACCTTGGGGACACCCTTTCACTTCATCCACTGAGATTTTTGCTTCAGAAGCTGCTTTGCCTCCATAGAGAACCTTCTCAGATACCTGATCGTTATGCAAAATTGAAGCATTTGAGGTTGCTCCACTGCACTCCCTGATCCTCTCAAATCCCAAACTGTTAGATGAGTCATCAAAGTTCATTCTCTCTTGATAACAAACCTTGGATGAAGACGCGTCGTCTAAACCCAAA